AATTTGACATGAGTCAACTAGCCTATTATGTTCATCACGGATAATGAAGGGTTCTAAATGTGAAAGAATTTTTCGATCCAGTCCGGTCGGTAGTTTCGGAGCCTATCCAATACAAACAAACAAACAATCAAATCTTTCTGCTTTCATCAAAATCAAACATCACTACCAAAGTCGCACATCAACTACGCCAACGTTACGTCACATTTGGTCTTAGTTGCAGTTAGAGGTAGCTTTTTCAGACGGCCGCTCTACTTATCTCATACAAAAAAAATCATCTTCAAATGAATAAAGGATTAGGTAAGTTATAGAGTAATTATTATCCAGCAATTTCCAAAAAAAATCACGAGAATTCTTTTATAAACTGTTGACTTACAATGAATATTGTTTTTGCAATTAGAAATATTTTAATGGCTAACGATCATATTATAATGATGAGAAATTACTTAATTGTGTTTTAATTTACGATAAGATAAGTACGAGTACCTTTTCTAAAATCGGATAAGAACAATAGGTGTTTGCATTTGTTTCGTTTTGTAATTACTTACTTATTAACTTAGATATTGACAAAATAATTGAAAACTTTTTCATTAGAAACGTAAGTCCATAATATAATTTGCTAATTAGATAGATATTTGTTTCTTAGGTTTACACGCACATCACTCATTAAATAAAACTGGTTTTAACGGGTTAATGCACGAACTTTATTTATTTATCAAGCCTGAAAAGGCCTTTCAGGTCTGCATCGTCAGAATAATGATTTTTTATTTACTTTGTCGAGCTACCTTCGAAAGACTTTTATTGAGCGTTCGGATATTTCATTGGAAGATTTTTAAATCTTTATTGTTTAAGTATGAAATTATTATATTTGCTTTTTAGGTTTTCACGCACATCACTCATTAAATAAAACTAGTTGTTATACGAAACTTTATTTATTTATTGACGTTGACGTCAGACGACGTAGCCTGTAAAAGCTACGAAACGTCAATAAATAAATAAAGTTTCGTGCATTAACCCGTAAAAACTAGTTTTATTTAATGAACTTATTACTTAATTTAGTTAATAAAGTACCTAATTTAAAATTCTTTTTTGTTATTTTGAATTTATTTATAATTTTGGAAACAGTGGTAGTAAGGGTTAAATAAATATCCTTTGCGTAGTGGTATTTTCTTAAGATTTAACATCTAGCAGTTAAATTCTTAAAATAAATAAATAATATGAGTTAGATAGATGTTGCTGGAGAATGAAAATTTGTCATTTCTGAAACAAAACAAGTAAAATAGTGTAATCCACGCGCGCATATAATGGAAAGTTGGTACACACATAAATTCATAATTGCAGGGTTGGTAGGAGCAGCATGATATTAGATTCCACTTATTTACGCCTCAATTATTGCCATTCGTTTGTTAAAAGATGTTATACGAGTTCAAAATTCTTACTTAAATTATTTTTTTGACGTTTCGCGTCGTCGTCAAAATTATGATTTTTATTTACTTCGTCAAACGTTCGGATACATCATTGAGTGATTATTTAAATAAAAAAAAAATGGTTTATATATGATTATAGCTATTAACGGGATTGTTACCATGTACCTTGTTTTTTATGAGTCTCCGATATTACGGCACTGTTGCAAGCGCCATGATCACGGAGTAACACACAGTTACACAAAAACAAGGTACATGGTAACAATCCCGTTAATAGCTATAATGTTATTGACCATTAAAGTTTAAAACAATATGTCTATATATGAATTTATTAGCTAATTTTATTAATAAACTAGTTTATTTCAATTTTTTTTTTTAAATTTGTGTGTATTTATTTATTTGACCCTTACTACCCTAAACTACAACCATTTCCAAATTGGGAGACCTTTCTGAGAACTGGTGAAACAAACTCAGAGAGGCTGTTCGTCCCCTTCTTATGTTAAATCATGTTTCACAAAAAGAACCAATATCATCTATTGGTCTACAGATAGGTTTTGAATCTCCGTTCGAGAAAATGAGTTGCCGTTGTATTTCCTTTTTTTCTTTCGCAGTTCGGCAAGTAAAATCGATAAATAAATTATACAAGTAACTTTAGACCTACATTGCTCTGATTTGATCGACAGTAAGTGATTGTTGTACTCACAGAACACATAAAAGCAGAACAGATGACGTCGGCTGGTCAAGTGTTGTGGGCACTGGCACTTAATAGATAATCATCATCAGCCTATTAATGTCCCCACTGCTGGGGCACAGGCCTTCCCTATGGATGGAATAGGGAGATTGGGGCATGACCCACCACGCGGGCCCAGTGCGGATTGGTGGATGCTAACGCTCGCAGATGCAACCGGGACCAACGGCTTAGCGTGCCTTCCGTAGCACAGAGGAGCTCGAGATAGTAATTTTTGGTCACCCATATAATGATCGACCACTGCAAAAGTTGCTTAATTTCAATGATCGCAGCCGAACGCGCTAACCACTTGCGCCATCGAGGATATTTTTTTTACTTTTTTTTTTACAAATTGAACCTACTGCTTGACGAAAATAAAAGTCAAATTTTAATGAAAATGAAGATAAGAAGGGTGATTATAGACCATTTGCACGGGAACAGATGTCGCCGGCTCGTCCCTATTACACTTGCACTTAATAAAATAGCCATATTTCTTTCTTAGATTTTCACGCACATCACTCATTAAATTAACAATAATAAGACTAACAGATACTATTAGTTCTTTTTGTTTGCATAATTTAACATAAGAAGGAGATAGAAAGCCTCTCTTGAGTTTGTTTCGCCGGTTCTTCTCAGAAAGGTCTCCCAATTTTGGAACCGGTGGTAGTTGACGGTAGTTAGGGTCAAATAAATAAACTCAAAATTACAAAAAAGAATTTTAAATAAAGTACTTTAATAAGTAAATTAAGTAATAAATTCATACATAGACAATAAAACTTTAAAAATCTTCCAATGAAAAATCCGAACGCTCAATAAAAGTCTTTCGAAGGTAGCTCGACAAAATTAAATAAAAAATAATTCGGACGAAGCAGCCTGAAAAGGCTGCGAAACGTCAATAAATAAATAAAGTTTCGTGCATTAACCCTTAAAAACTAGTTTCAGATAATAGCCAATCAAATGACGCGACATCAAACAATCGCACCAATCAGCGATCAAACCTGAGAGAAACGACGCAATCAGAACTAAGTTTTGCTCAAGATGAGCATTTGCTAACACATAACTGTGACGCGCCTGCCCCGCCCATAAGGCCTTTAAACCTCTTTCAGTGTTCAGTGGTTTTACTTGAGTTAGGGAAATCTGATACAAAAAGGATATTACAAACGCGGGTCCAAATGGAAAATGTAATTTTCTACATTGACTCGGTACCAGGCATTAAATCAATGATCTCAAAGGGGGCAACAACATGAAAAAGATTCTCGAATGATTTTAATACGGTATTTTTAATCTTGAAAGGCTGGCAAAAAAGCCTGTGGCCAGCTCCGCCATATGATCTGTCTATGGTATAGATGTTTGACGATGAATGTGACATTATGTGATTTTCTTTTGACATTTTATTTTATCAATGTATAAGATTTTTTATTTTGCAAATAAGTATTTTACGTAGACTAAGAGATATGCTCTTAGTACAAAAAAGTCATAACATAATTATAAATCTATATTTCAATTAATTTTTGCATGCTGGAAACGGCTAATTGTGCGATCAGACCTAATCATTTAAAAACATCATTGTAACCACAATTAATGCAAATAAATTTCATTTCATTTCATTTCATTTTGCAATATTTTTAAGAGCGGTAGGGCGTAGCGGATTTTCCGTATGAATTGAATCTCCCGTCTGGGGTAGTACTTAATCTCTACCACACAGAAGATCACAGTAAAATTACACTAGCTTTTGCTGGTGTTGTGTTGCTGTCGGTTAGTAAGGTTTCCGGCCTCCATGGGGTAAGGCTCAGGGTAGGCAATAGCGTGAGTGATATATTTACGCTTATCATCAGGCGAGCCATATACTCCTTTGGCATCCTTTTAATATAAAGAGAACTGAAATAGAAGCGTCTTTAGGCTTTAGTGGCCGCTTATCATCAGGCGTCATTATTATATGTTTGTTTGTCACCCTTTTAATATAAAGAGAACTGAAATATTTATATGCGCGTTGCTAAAGCCCATGGTAAACCATTACAACTCTTCCCCGTGAAGACTACGGTTTCCAGAGTTCCACGAGGTTCAGCGTGGTATCACAACAGGTACACAGCAATGCAGAATAATGTTATTTTTGGTTATTACTAGTTGCGTAGCTAAGACGCTCGTATTCTTAAGGGAATACCGTAATGTCTCTTTTAAAAAGTGCAAATAGTGTGGTTAAAGAGCCCTTTCACATATTTTGCAAAAAAATCGTAATTTTTGAGCGCCTCATTTACCCCTTTAGAAAAGATTTTGACTATTTCCAATAGAAGTTAACAGTAGAATTATACTTCCTATTGAACGTTAATGTAGAATAGTTGCAAATACTATTTTCGTTTTTTGTACTGATCGTTCTACTGCAGCTAGTTTACAGAAAAAACGATAATATACACAACTTCAAACGCCTCAATCTCTCAATAATGTTTAATAAATTAGATCAAATTAATTACTACGACATCAGAAATATGTTTTTGTTGATTAAAATATTGATTTTCTATGTCATTAATTATCAAAAAAAAAATCTAAGCTCCGTGAGTTTTCCCAAAAATAAGTATTTTAATATTTAATTAAATAGAATTACTATCAGAAATTTTCATAAAACTAATCTACCATCGGTAAACGACTGAAATATGTATATATTTTTATAAATAGTTCATTAATAATTATTTTATAAGACTCTAAACATCACCCGTAAAATGCAATATATACTAGTGCAAATCTACCTACGCTACGCGCCGATTGGTACGGCAGCGGTGCAATTTTGTAAAAGGGCTCTTAAGTATAGTAAGCGTGCGTGGTGCGTGTCGGCTCGTGCCATGAACGGTACCAACGCGTCAAGTATGTGGGGCGTGCGCGCGGCGGGCCAGCACCTGCATGTCGCGCTGGATCGCGGCCAGCTCGGCGTGCAGCGCTCGCGACTCCGCTAGCAACGCGTCCAGCCGCCTCGCCGCTGCCGGCAGCCCCCCCTCCGACTCCTCGTCCTCCTCCACCGACAGCGCCAGCTTCCCCAGCCGCTCCCGTTCCACCCACTCCTTAATCCCCCCTTTCCTCAACTCCCGCCAAATGTCCCTCCTGGTCGCGCCCGAGCGCTCGTCCTCCTCCGCCTCCCTCAACTCCTCAGCCAGCGACCTCTCCCGCTTAAACTCCCGTCGAGGGCGGCTACACTGATCACTTTCAACTACACTTTCACTAGGCAGATTTTTTTCAGGCTCCGGGGTGGGCGCTGTCGATAGACCTTGCGGACTCGGCGACAGCAGGGCTCTTTGCAAGAATCGCCTCGTGTCCTCATCCAGGGGCCGAGCGAGGCCCCTCCGGGATGCAGGCCGAACGATCGCCTCCAGCGCTTCCCTTCCCGGGTCCTCCGGCCGCAGCAGCTCCAGGATTCTGGAGCGCGGTGGCAAAATCGCGGAACACACTTCGAATTTGGACACTAGCTTCCCTTTGCTCGGGGATGTGTTTATATCCCCGGTCGGGGTGTACGCGCGCAAGTTGTCGTTGAGGACGCGATAGTTTCTCTGTTTCACGTTGCCTTCGGGTGGCGGGGGGCCACTGCAGTCGTCGGTGGCGGGTTCGACGATTTCGATGCAAGCGGTCGACGAACGCTGCTCGGCGCGCGGCGGCGGTAACAGATTCATGTCGCGCTCGCGCGGGGCGCGCGTTGACACTGGCGCGAAACGGCACGCGCGCTAGGAGCCCCGCCTATGACGGCTCCACTAATTGCGCGCAACTAACTAATAGCGCAGAGGGCGCGTGCGGCGAAGGGCGCGCATAGCACTGTCACCAGTATTGCCAGGTCCGATTTTATAAAATCGGGAGGCGTTAAAGAAAAAAACAGTAGATGTATGGAAAGAGCTACAAGAAAAACAGTAGATACAGAGGCGTGCTTTTTGCCATTTTCACCCCCCCCCCCTCCCCCCAGAATTGGTAAATCAAATCTAGATAAAGACCAGTAACGAATGTGTTTCTGTGGCTTCTGCCTCCCCTTAAAGCTACTTTTTTTAGACGATAACATTTATTATAAAATTAATAATACATTATTAATGGCCGCAAAATGCAACTCAACATGCAATTTAAAAAAGAAAATCGTATTCTAACAAAAACAGGAGATTCATGTAGAAAATCAGTAGAACTGGAGAAATTTCAGAAAAAACAGACAGATCTCCTGTAAAATCTGGAGACCTGGCAACACTGACTGTCACTGCCATCCCGCCGGGGCTTAAATGCAGCCGGGGCGGCGGCTGCGGTCGTGCGGTAATCCAATTTACCATCTATTTACGATAGCCAGGAAAATCATTGCGGTAGTGTGAAACAACACTCTATCTATAAATAGCGAGGTGCACTGATTCCAGTCAGCGTCGCTTCGGTAATCACTACATAGTATAAAACAAAGTCGCTTTCTCTGTCCCTATGTCCCTTTGTATGCTTAAATCTTTGAAACTACGCAACGGATTTTGATGCGGTTTTTTTAATACATAGAGTGATTCAAGAGGAAGGTTTATATGTATAATACATGCATAATATAGTAGAGAAACACTGATAATTTTAGAGGTTTTTAATGTAAGGTCGTAAATAAACACATTTTATGCGCTTACATTGCAAACGCTGGCTGAACCCTACGAGATAGATCAAAATTATGTACCACAGTATCGTACACCTTAAAAAGGTCTACAAAAAAGTCCACGATGGTATATGTCTATCTCTTAGGGATAACCCACAATAACTATTTTTTATCCTATGCTTTTTAAGACAAATAATGGTTTATTTACGAAGCGATTTTAAGCAATACACCATCAATCCTTATCCAATGAAGTACCTTAAATACATTGTGCATTAAATATAGATCAATATGGCCCTTTGCAGCGTGTAATTTAAATTAGTATTTTTGAAGATATTTAAGATGCAGGGACATAGCGGTTACACGGGGCCGACGGCGCGTGCCTATAGTAATTATATAAATAAAGTCATTGTTTATAATACAAGCCTGAGAACAAAAACTATAGTCTATACTACAGCTCTACACCGAAGCGAAGCCAGGGCGGGTCACTAGTAAGTAATAAATTCATGCTGCATCGCCGGCTATCTATTGGAATGAATTCGCATTGTTTTTGCGCAAAGCGTTGCGGTTTCTAGAGCCGGTCCGCTGGCGCCGAGCTGTGTTTCACTTTTATTAGCCGGAATGCGTTTTAATTCACTGTAATTACTGTTTTGTTATTTAAAGTTCGTGTTTTTATCAATTAAAATTCAAGGTATTAATGGAAATTAGTAATACATAGGATATATAAATTTAACGAATCTTTTTATCGAATATCTCTTAAATTCAAGGATTTTTCATTTCGAACTAGCAATGATTTTACGAAAATATTTAAAAGCGTTTTTGGTCAAACTCTACCTAATTAACAAATTATAACTTATTAACCGACATTGTCTTAAACTGGTGGATATGTAATGTAACTTTATCTACCCTTTGTTTTTAAATACATTATTATACATTAACTACTAATTAACATTTAATTATCTAATTTTAAGGTACGATCGAACCAATTGATTCCTGACCCACTTACATAATTATTCGCTTGACAATGTCAAAACAGACAAGTTTTCCTTTTTAGAAAATTTGCACTTAGGACCTTCTAATAACAAGGAAACTGTGTTAATGTCGATCAATGATATTTGAAATTTTACCTATATTTTCAATGCAATAGATCATGTTGTATATAAAACTAGCGGACCCGACAGACGTTGTCCTGTCTACACGTCTTTGTGAATCTAAACCATTCTCAGATCCCCTTGAACACACACAAAAAAATAAATTTCATCAAAATGGGTCCAGTCGTTTAAGAGAAGTTCAGTGACATACACACTCACAGAAGAATTATATATATAAAGATATAAATAAAAATAAAATAAAATTTGAATTGTAGTTTGAATTTTGAAATCAATTTTAATATCGTAAATTTAATAGAACTACATTCAATTTATTGGGTCGAAGTAGAATGTAAGAATGTAAAATTTCGATTTAGGATGCAAGCCGACAAAAATATTATAGCATTCGAAATTTAAACATAAAAAAAAAACATCGGGTTTCTGGATTTTTCTTCATTTTATAAAATCGAGTGAACCCGAAAAGTAGACAGAGTCCACAAGCGCAATACGGTATTTCACAGTGTTAAAAATAAAGTGCCAATTCTTGGCATCTGTGTTTAGAATACATATTGGCAGGGGTTTTTACTATTTTTACAAAAAAAAAATTCATAATTTTGCTAAAATATTAACGAAAACTGGTCGGTCATTGGATGGGTGACCAAAAATTTACTATCTTGAGTTCCTCCGTGCTTCGGAAGGCACGTTAAGCCGTTGGTCCCGGCTGCATCTGTAGTCGTTAGCACCCGCCAATCCGCACTGGGCCCGCGTGGTGGGTCATGGCCCAATCTCCCTATTCCATCCGTAGGGAAGGCCTGTGCCCCAGCAGTGGGGACATTAATAGGCTGATGATGATGATGATGACTAACGAAAAAGATAATAGTTTTCTTATCTAATGTCACGTGACCCAAAACGCTTGGGATTGGCGGAGCCTAAAATGACGTCACACGCAAGTAAACTTCCGGTTAAAGTGACATTACATTGTATCGTTTGACGTTTTAATAACAGTCGTGTGACGTCACACACTAGTAAGACGCCATATTGTCCAGAGAAACGATTTCGAGGTAACTTGAAAATGGAGTTTTTGATTTGTTTATTTTTACTGAAATACACAACAGAATGATGAATATCCTTTTTACGGACTCCATAAACATTACTCAATAACCTGAGATCGTTTCCTAAAACTTGTCAAATACCCTATTGCAACGTTGCGCTCATGCGCCGACTGAAATTTTCAAAATCTTGAATATTTAGAAAATACCTTTGAGATTTATTTATAGTACTACCAAACGATTGAAAGAATATTCAAGATCAGAGGATAAACAAAAGAGCGGTCGATCTCGTACTGTTCGGACTGCAGCGGTCATCAAAACAGTGAAAATGCGAATCCAGTGAAACCCTGTTAATTAAATATCACAAAATAAAACAACTATCGAATAAGCCTTATCAGCTGATAGGGTTTTCTATATGGGGGCGTTCATAAATTACGTGAGATGGTTAAGGGGGGGAGGGGGTCGAGTCAAATCTCATCTAATCTTAAGCGGTCTACACACCAAAGCCGCTGACCCGGCGGCACGGATCGCCGGCCCAACCCGCCGGCCTTATTTTGTACAATCATGCCGCCGGCTTGCGCCCGCGCGGGCAAGCCGGCGGGGCAGCATGCCGATGCCGACGGCATCCCTCTCCACTCACTCAGTCGCTTTGTTGCCCGCTGGCTTTCATAGAGTAGTTACGTATCACTTATTCATTACTAGAACACCACATGCCGCGGCTGTCGTGCCGCCGGCAAAGTCGTTCGGCTTGGACATTCTGAAGCCGCCGGGTCAGCGGCTTTGGTGTGTAGACCGCTTTACGTTGGAGAGAGATTAAAAAAAAGAATTATACTATTTTGGTCCATTTAATCTAGATTGGCGGAAAGGTCCTCGAGTGGCGACCGCGTACCGGGAAACGCAGTGTTGGCAGGCCCCCCACAAGGTGGACCGACGATCTGGTAAAGGTCGCGGGAAGCCGCTGGATGCGGGCAGCATGGGACCGATCGTTGTGGAAATCCATGGGGGAGGCCTATGTCCAACAGTGGACGTCTTTCGGCTGAAATGATGATGATGATGATGAATCTAGATTGTACACGCTTAATATTTAATCGTAAGCGTCATCGTAATACGATTAAATCATTCACTTATTGGTTCGAAAGGAAAGTAGTCGTAAATAAAAGCACGAATTTTATTTTATTTTCTTTTTATAATAAAGATTCAACGCGTTTACGTAAGAAACCCACATTTTGAAAAATCTCACGTGAGATTGGGGAATGGGGGAGGGGGTTGAATAAAATCTCACGACATCTCACCAGGGGGGGAGGGAGGGACAGAAAATTCAAAAAGCACCTCACGTAATTTATGGACGCCCCCTATGATCTATACTAGAAAACTCGTGCAATCTATCTATATATATAAAAATGAAACCCGTTTTCCGTTGTCACGACATAACATGAAAACGGCTTAACCGATTTGGCTGATTTTTTTTTAGAATATTCCTTGAAGTACGAGGATGGTTCTTACGAAGAGAAAAATTAAAAAATGCCTGAAAATGTCAAAAAACAAAACTTTTCTTTACTCCCATACAAACGATTCGTAATAATACTTAAAAGTCAATTTGAACTTTAATACCATACCATAAATTTCAAATGTTAGTGGAGAGATTCTGGGAAGGCAAAACAATTGAGCGACGCGATGTCAATAGAAGTTTGGAAAAGATAAATATACCATCTTCAGTTTTTTTATAATCTATATATAAAACTCAAAGGTGACTGACTGACGTAGTAATCTATCAACGCCCAGCCAAACCACTGGACGGATCGGGCTGAAATTTGGCATGCAGGTGAATGTTATGACGTAGGCATCCACTAAGAAAGGATTTTGATCAATTCTACCCCCAAGGGGATAAAATAGGGAATGAAAGTTTGTATGAAACTTTGTCAATTTTAAACCGATCGGGCGGA